GCTAGTCATCACTACACACCGCCAACTCTTGGGCTACTCTTTTACCAACAAATAATGGGATTGACCGCCACGTTATAACGCCCCCAAGGCTGAAAGGACGAGCATGTTTGGTAGGACGGTAATTCGAACCCGCAGATTGTAAGTGGGGCGCTCTAACCATCTGGTCGTGGCAAGCCAAATTTAAATATTACAGGTTATTAACAAGCTCATGAAGAAAGTCAACACCAACATTTAGTAAGATTTATTGAATAATTTTAACTCTTCAACCTTCTTTATGGGATAATTTAATGTGTTAGAGCATCTTTATTCTATAATGTTAAAACAGCATTTTTACACAGCGTTAGTCGGTAAATCATGTTGATCTTGTTAAAACTTCTAGTGGGTAAGAGAAACGAAAAGTTTTTCACAAGTTCTACAACTATTAAACACTGAAAGCAAACAAAGACTGTAAGGCATTTTATACGACTGTCTTCGAATTCCCAAAGTTAATTTCAAAACGAGGATTCGACTATCTAAAAACAACAACAACACCTCCTTACAACAGCAGATAGTCTCAGAATATTCAGGATGTTCTGTCGATTTCGTTTGATGAAACATTTTGAATATTTTATAATAAAATGTGATGCACATTCCAGTGCTAATGAACTTACGGAATGTATCCAAGTTTATTACAGCTTATTAAAATATCTTATTGGTAAGATATCTCTGTAAGATGAATCCTTTTTTTTTCAAATTCAGATTCATGTAATACAGCAAATAGATGCAACAAAGCATCTTTCTATTTTAATTTAGCATTTGTAACTAACTACGTCATCAGATCAAGCTGGTCACCTGTAATTTAGACATCACGTAAGTGGGCAGTAACTAACTGACAGTTCACGAGAGTCATTTTGCGACGTTATTATGTAGTAATGTTATCACATGGTATAGATTTTAATGTTCTGTAATGGCACAACAATAATATCTTTTGAGGAATATTTTTCAGAGATGTAATAATACTATCAGCTGATGTAAGCGCTGAGAAGTAGATACATGATTACTTTGTACTGTTGCGTCAACGAGTCACGTGACCACTGTGGCGCCCTCTAGTTTCTAGAACTATCTTGTTCTTTCGGGAATGCTCTAGTAATTGCTCGATGTAGGGTGGGCTGGTATATATAAAGGAGGGGAATGTGAGGTGGGTAGAGAGATTGTGAGTAATTGATCTGCGGTCGGAGTATTATTGACGTTCGTTGCTATTGTTGAGTGTATCGGTTAAGTTAGATTGTTACGTTTCCGTTTTTTAATTAACTTATTCCGTAACTTCGTTTCAACGAAACT